AGAATTCTCACTTCACTCTGAGAGCACTAGTATAAGTACCCATAGATCTTCTTTACCTCATTGGTTTGAGTAGAAACTAAAGCTCTACACTTTTGGCTTAAAGCTAGCTTGTTTTGCTCTTTAGTATGAATGGATACTTCAGTTTTGGTTTAGTGTTATTACATGCAGATTAAAGCCAAATGCTATCTATAGTGGCAAAACTTGAATGTCTCCTCGATTCATTGGTGTTGCTAGTTTCTGTTGAAAAATAAAATAATGTTACAGGTAAATAATTAAGTTGGGAAAATGATCGTAGCAAACAAATCATTATATTAATCCAATATGACTCAATTTAGGAGCGCATCTCTAATGAAAATGCTAAACCCACCTTAAAAACTCTGAAGAGTAGAAGTCCCAGAATTAATATTCTCTTGCGAACTCGGGTCACCGGCGACCTTCACCTGACAATCATCAAAGGAAGATGAGACGGATGCCTGGCTAGAGGAAGATGAGAAGGATGCCTTTCTGCTATTCTGTTATCCAATAAAATAAAGGATTGGGAGATTAAAAAAGAACTTTATTTTGGGAAACATAAAATAGAATATGATGTTTCTAATTTTTTGAGGGGGCATGAACACCCATAGGCCCGCCTCAATCCGCCCCTGGTGATAGCCATTGCATATTTGTGGCACCATTATGTGGAGAATTAGAAGGTTTGAGTTTTCTTTTTGATGTCAAGTTTATAAAATCATGCCATGCTGATGTGCAATTTAATTCGTTTTGTCTTGGTGAATTTGCAGCGATTTAGTCGCTTCATGTAGAACAATTAAGCAAGCTAAGTGTTGATCTGCTAATGATTGGTTTTTGTTCATAAGCATAGTTATCTAGTTCTATTATATTATGCCCAGCTTGTTATAAATCCTGCTTCCCTATATGTATTGTTTGATCAAATATTTGCATTTATGAAATTCAAGTGACTTGGTGGTGTAATTGGCAAACAAGTTTCTACCAGTGGCTTTGGATTTATTGTTTCATTGAAATTTTCCAGTGCTGAATTTGCAGATGCAGAGTTAATTTGTTAAGGTCATACCCCTGATCTGAGTTAATCATTTCTTTTTTATGGTACCTGCTGATATAATTTTGCCAATTTGAGTTTTTTGAAGACGTAATGCTTAATTTGAAGACGTACGTAATGCAAGGGTTTGTTGAAGCCATCACTTCAAAATTTTAATTTCTCAGGTCATTGGAGATTCAAAACTTATTATTTAACCGGTTGTCAAAATAAAAGGCAGACGCAACGTTCTCAAGTGCTTCATTTATCTCTCAGATAAACTTTTCTCTATTTCCAAATAAAAAAGTGCTCTCAACCATCTTCTCTGTACTCACAATCATCTAGTTCTCTGTACTCACAATCATCTACATTTATTGACATTTTATTTCTGTCACTGTATTGATGGTTGTTAGTTCGTGCAAGTGATGTTTTGGAAACAGTCACTGCCAGACTTTTTATGGAGATCAGCAGGTTTGACTTATGGTCCATGGGGAATGAGACCGCTTTTCCCCCTCCTTTCAGATCTACAAATATAGGGTGGATTGTTTGGATGACAAATGGTATTGTCTCCACTCTTATCGGCAATGTCACTCCCCATGTATATGCCTTTTAGTGTCACTTGTGGTTTTCAAGCTGCTTTATGGTTCAAATCATAAACCCTAATTTACCGTTAAGAAAAATATCTAATTAGAAGGTTAACTTAAAAAAAATCACTAATAATTCTAAAAAAACATAAAAATGTGAAACAGCTTGCATTAAACTCATATTCAATTATGGAGTGAAGGAAAAATAAACATCACATAAATTGTAATAATAAAATTTCGAGCAAGCATAAGTAAAACCCACGTCAAACCCTAAGATTAAAAAACCATAAAAAAATTCAACATTACCAAATGAGTTCAAAATTTCATGATTTGATCTTCAAGTTATTAATAAATTGTGGTTTAAATTTCATATCATTTAGAGTTCATTTGGTGGTCCAAATCAAAAACCTAATCCTTATTGTATAAGGAAATCCTAATCTTACCGATAAATTTGAAAAAATCATTAATAATTCTAGAAAATCAAAAAAATCATTAATAGACCTAGAGCCATTCCCAACATCAATTCTTTTTGGTGTCGACTGTTAATGGAGAGTTGCAATATTCTATCCTCATCAAGTTGGTCCCTAATTTCTTTAGAGGATTGTTTTGAGTACTAGGGTGGTAGGATTCTAGCATCATGATTTTGCCTTCCTCTTCATTGGTTTCAACATCTTGCCTTCCCCTCTCATTTGGGAGTGGGTTTGTCTCTTGGGGGCCATCACTATATTTTGTCTTTTGAATGTTGTTTGCCTTTGCCTAGTAGGGAGGGCAGTGTTTTGTGTACTCAGAGATGGACACCTCATGCGTTAAGAAAGTCTATGTAGCACTAAATATACAACAGTCAACACCAACATGTATATATTTAGTGAATTAATGGAGTGTTGATGATATCATTTTATATTTTTGTAGCCCACATGCATCTTAGGATAGTCCAATGGTATATGAGCTGATACTATGGAATTTGGATTTTGCTTTGAGGGCACCAAACTAGAGAGGGAGTTTCTTTTATGAAAAATATAATAAATATGGAAAATAATTAAGAAACTCACTGATTGGTAGCCCAAAAAGTGGCTTTGAGTGAGTGCTTATGATGTATTTCCTTGAATTACTTCACAATCACTTTTAGAGGCTATTTAGCTGTGACTATTATGGGTTGTTTGGTTGCAATTATTATGAGTGTATTGCAACATAAATGTAGCGGTTTTGGGATTTTTGGTGTGTAGTTGGGAGTAAAATAAATGCAAAATAGTATTTAGAGGAATTTTGAATACCCCATAGCCTATTTTTGTATTATTTCAAATTTGTCCAAATTTGACAAATTTAGGCAACATTGCTCACAAAGTAGATTGTGACCTCATTGCCACTTGCATACAATATTGGCAAGTTTTTGCACTTCATATGATCCTACCCCCATCCTCTCTTACGACCTCGCAGTGCGCTTGTGACCGCTCTGCTGTCATTGCTGCTTGTGAGAACCTCATTCGCTTCCATTGCCGCTCAAGTTCTCTTTATTTTAGTTTGTTTTAATTTTTTATTTTCATGTTTATTAATTCGAACCAAACACAAGCGACCTATGGAGTTTTGAATATATTGTATTTATTTTTCACTTCATTCAAAATGCCTTTAAATTCTAAATAATTGAAACCAAACAACCCCTAGGTGAACAGAAATGATATATGGAATTGTTATTACATTTAGAACTTCTAGATCTCAAGTTTTGGTATTTCCTCTCACTAGCTTGGCATGATAAGATGCAATGGTTTTAGTACTTCCCAAAAATTTTCCATTATTCTAAATCTGTTTTATTCTTCTCAAATATCTTTGGGATTATTATTTATTTTAAGGCTATTTCACTAAAGTTTCTCACATGTATCTTTTTAATACCATATACTCGATAGTATTTCATTATTTTCTTTAAAAACCTTATAAATTCCAAGTTTTAATTTATATAGGGGCTTTTGTGAATATTGGACCATTCATCACCCTTCAAAAGATTGGTGTAGAGATTTATGCCTGTGAAACACCTACATAATTTCACCAGCTGGGTTCCACGCTTATCACGGCTTTCACCTTTTTCTTTTTACTTTTGCTGCCATCTCATTGATCTGTCTGATCCCTATTGGTTACTTATCGATCGGTAAACTATTGTAATGGTTATGTAATTATTTTTGCCTACACATCAATGTGCTGACTATTTTAATTATTATTGTATTGTTATCTTTTGATTTTGTATGTTTTTTTAAGGAGCTCTCCTAAGATTGTATAAGGCCATCTCAAACCGAAAAACTCATTACAACTCCAAAATGTAATAATACTCTAAATTGCAGTAACTCATCTCCAAACGAATTTCCTAACACAAAAAAAAAAAAAATTCTATGTATATTCTTTATCATATTTTATTTTATATTTATTTTTAATAATATCTTTATATTTATCAAATTTTCAAAAAAAAAAAAACTTTTACTCGATAAATTAATTTGTAATATAAATATATACTTAATAAAATAAATATTAGTTATTTTTATTTTTATTTCTCATTTTATATTTTCGTTGTCATAACTTGTTCTTCATTTTGATTTCAATTTTTTATTTTGTTGAAGTATTATAATATTCAATATCCTTTAAATTTAATGGGGCTTTTATCCTAATTTATATATTAATCTTGTATCTTAATTATGCTATTGCATTTTATATTATTTAAAATGAATAACTTAATTAAAACAATTAATTATATAAAAAAGTAATAATAAAAACCTACACTTAATAACCTATAATTATTAACCTAATTTTCTGAAGTAAAAAAAAAAAATTGAGTCGGTTGGTGTCGCATTGTTCACCTCGCGAATTTAGCGTGCGATTTGGCGTTCAGGTGGAGCAAATGGCTGACAAGAAACGAGTATAAGCAGTTTTTTTGGAGATGGCCTAAGTACTACACAAATATTAGAATGAAACACTTAATCATTTCTCTTCAATTATTGTCAATACTTTGGGGCTTCCCACTGTCAGGTGTTATATTTTAATGGTCCTATCTCAAGTTTAGGTCTATGGTTGGATTAATTTTGAGGTGTGTCTAACAAAGTGTTGTAGAATGTTAGAGTTTCTGTTTTTTTTTCCCCTAAAGAAGGGAGCACCCTGAAGGATGGTTTTATAACCACCAGTGCATAAGCTTTGAACTTTTAATTTCGCTGTTCTGTACCCAGTTTTTCACCTTATTGTGTCCAAACTGTCATTTTTTTTTTATTTTCTCTTTCTCTTCATCAGGTATTGATTATTAGCTTGTCCTTTTTTGTTTAGAAAATTAATTCAAATGGATATTTTCCACTAGTTGGATGATTTCTCCTTATCCTGTTGGTCTCATTTTTGCTTTTCTTATGCTAACTTTTCAGGATTGGTTGCATACTTTTATCTGTTGGTCAGGATGAATTCCATGATGAAGTGTTCAATACCTTAACTTTTGTTGTTCAGCAGTCAGATTTCATTGTTCAGATTCTAAGGAATGTCACAGATTATTTATCCTTAGCAAAGACAATTAGTGTGGATGAGTTCTATATTTCGTCTGATGTTCAGAATAGAATTAACAAGTTAGATGTAGATCTAAGGAGCGCAGCTTTTATAATATTAGAAAAAACAACAGAGAATTCGGAAAAGATTACCAGAGCAATGAATTATGCGTATGAGCCAATTTCTAAGGATTGTTTAATGAATTTTTGCATAAGCATATTTTTTTTAATCCTATAACTTGTGTTTTTTTATTGATATAGGAGGGTTGTTCTGATTTTAGTAGCAGCAATTATGCTTTTGCTTGCTCTCACTGGCTTTGGTGCGTATTCTTGCTTCTTTTTATTAGAATTTGCTCTATATCCCAAAAGCATAATTGATCTTCTGTTTTTGATTTCTTATCTTATCTGTTCTCACGTTCACTACAGCACTCTCAATTCTCGGGCACAAGCAGGCTATTTATGCGTAAGTTGACAGTGCATTCTTTGTAGTGGATTAGCTATTCAAATTTTCTGATATACAAGTTTAAATTATTTTAAAACATCCATATATTTTCAGGTTTACCTCAATTGGATGGCTACTTGTTACAGCCACACTTGTTTTATTTGGAGTTTTTGTTATCTTAAAGAAGTAAGAACCTTGGCTAAGCTGTTTATATTATTAACTTGTGATAGTTGTTTGTGCCTTATTAAGTTTATTTATTTGATTTACAATCTCATATATTATTCAATGAGCTTTGAATTTTTCTGAACTCAGCATATTTATCATTTAAAATTTGGAGATTGTTCGCTTTTACAATTATTATTATTATTATTTATGTTGATTGTTTACATGTGTCTAACTCAAAGTATTTACTGATTGATTGTATGTAAGAAATTGAAGATGAACAGTATAGAATATTTGATCATTGAGCACTAAGATATGCATGCGTGTCTATGGTTCTCCATAAATCTGTTAATAGAAGACAACAAAGATCTGGTAAAATTCTCAAAGTATGAGTTTTGGCTTTGAGATATGACATTCCTAAGACAGATTATTGTTGAAGTTGAAATTTATGTAGATCCCGCTAAGATTAAAGAGTAATGAATTGGCAGAGGCCAAATATTGCCATTGAGATTCATAATTTTTTTGGCCTAGTTAGTCATTATAAACAAATTGTGGAAGGTTTTTTCACGTATTACTACACCTTTGATCATAGTAACTTAGAAGTTTGTTAAGTTTATATGATTTAATGCATGCGAGCAAAGATTTCATAAGCACAAGAACTATTTAGTGTTAGCTCCTATTCTCACTATTCTTTTTGGTATCCATGGACTATAGATTTATAGTGATACTTTACATCAAGGCTTTGATTGTGTCTTAATGCAACACAACAAAATAGTAGCTTATGTGTCTAAACAACCCAATGTGCATGAGAAAAACTATTCTAAATATGACTTAAAGCTAGTAACAATTTTTTAAAGCTAGTAACAAATTTTTTTGCACTGAAGATTTGGAGGTATTATCTTTACGGTGCTCTTTGTGAGATTTTTGTTGAATATAAAAACTTGAAGTATATATTTATTCAGAAAGAGTTGAATTTGAGATATAAGCGATGGCTTGTGTTGATGGACTATAATTTATAAATTTAGTACCATCCAGGTAAGATTAATGTGGTTTCAGATGCTTTAAACCGAAAGTCTTCATATTGTGTGGCATGAATGATCACACAAGAGCAACTATTAGTACATGCAATGGGGCGACTTCAGTTTGAGATATTACCTTCGGGAGGAAATTATGTTATTTATCACATGGCTATTCAACCAATGATTTTTGATTGAATTCATGAAGCTCAGATGGAAGATGTTGATTTGATGCAGCTTAGAGGGCAAGTTATGAATTTATTAAAATCCCAATTTACTATTAATCAAGTAGGTGAATTAAAATTTAAAGATAGATTATGTATTCCAGAGCATGCTGAAATTCGATATGATATACTTCAAGAAATGCATGCTACTCTAGACTCAGTTCACCAAGAAGCACCAATATATATCATGATCTTAAGAAACTTTTCTGATGGCCTAGTAGCAATGTGGCAGAATTTGTAGTCAAGTATTTGATTGGTTAGATGGTCCAAGCCGAATATCAGAGACCTGATGGTCTGTTCTAAGCTCTCCTAATTTAGAATGAAAGTTGAAAGAGATAGTGATGAGGACATCGATCCAAGGTTCAAACATGTGTATCGCCGGAAGCATCGCCGATCGATGACCACGATTCAGAGCTTATATTTCTAGTTGTTTATGCATTTTATTTTTATGTCTTTTGCGGATTGTTGATTAATAGCTTTTGGTATTGCTACTATCCTTGGTTATCCATGAGTTTTTGGTTAATCTACTTGTACTCCTTCGCCTAAGCAAGTTAACAACTAAGAACCTTTAATGATTTTACTTGTTATCTCAATAAGTTCTTAATTGTAATTCCATTGTCAATCACTTTTAATTTTCTTAAGAAGCTCCTTCGCATGTGGTATCACATCACATAGCTATGGACTTCGCAGTTGGCTTGCCTAGATTAAAATGTGGTCATCATGCAATTTGTGTTATAGTTAATAGATTCACTAAGACGGCTCATTTTCTATCCTTCAAGAAGAATTACTAGGTGGAAAAGCTAGCGAAGATCTACATGGCATAATTATTCGATTGCATGAGATTTCAATCATGAATGTGTTGTATAGGGACAAAATATTTTCTTCGAGATTATGGAAGAACGTGCAAGAGCTTTGGGTACAAGGTTATATTTTAACATTGCATTTCACCCATATATAAATGACCGGTCAGAGCAGACAATTTAGATACTAAAAGATTTATTGAGATCTTGCATTCTTGACTTTGTGGGTAATTGAAAAGTTATATTAAGCTTATAGAGAGTTTGACTAGAATAATTATTTCCAGGTTAGCATCAAGATGATACTATAGGAGGCCATTTATGGTAGGGAGTGCCAATCTCCTTTGTATTGATTTGAGATGGGTGAAAGAAAACTCTTAGGACCTCAATTGATTGATCAAATTACTAAGAAGATTTAGCAAACTCGAAAATGATTTTGTTCAGCTCAGTAGCGGTAAAAAGATTTCAGCTTTAAGCATAGAGAGGTTGAACATGAGGTTGGAGATCACATATTTCTCAAGATTTTGCTCACACGAGGGGTTAACAAGATTTGGCAAAAATAGAAAACTTCAGTCCCAGTTCATTAGACCTTTTGAAGTAATCGAGGGAGTTGACATAGTTTCATATAGATTGATTTGGGCAACTAATTGCTCATACGAACGGACAATATTGATATATAAATTAATTATTGTCACTATAATACAAATATATAGAAAAGCAAATTAGTTGGTATTGGGTAACAGTGTTGAAAAATTCACCCATTGTTTATGTCTTGCATTCGACTCGCTAAGAAATTCATGTTTGACTAGATTTTTAAATAAATGAGCTGAACTTAAACAAATAATGTGCTAATTTTCTCAATGAGTTGGCCACAGATAGAGTTATGTTAGATTGTGTTTGGCTTATTGTTTAGCAGTTTGATGTATAAAAAAAAATTATATTTAGATATTAACTAATATATAGTTTTAAATAATGTATATATATGTTATCATTGTTTTGGTATTATATACTTCCATATTAATGCTTTATAATTCTTTTTTATATTTATTAATTTATGTATTAATAAATTTTTAGAACTTCAATTATTGAAATCTAACATCTGTAAAACATGACTTTGATGAGCCTACCAAGCCTAAAATGAAATAAACACAAATACAAGAACACAAGTGGAGCTTGAATAGAGTAAAAATATGATAGTGCTGAGGTCTAACTCAAATTTGTTAAAACTCTGGTTAATTTACACGTCTAGACTTGGGCATGGTTTGAAAATTCTGGTTTGAACTAGATGATGTCCGAATGTCTTTAGCATTCTCGTTGATAAAAGAGTCTCTCCATCACGGCAAAGAATAGAAATGGGTGGAAGCATTAAATATTCCCAGGAATAGGAAAATAAGCTTACAAATACAAAATGAGAAACTACAACATAAAAAAAAAAAAAAAAAAAAGAAAAAAAAAAAAAAAAAAAAAAGAGAGAGAGAGAGAGAGAGAGAGAGAGAGAGAGAGAGAGAATGGTCCTCTGGCGAGGAATTGCTTAAACTATATTTGTATCTGAATCATAAATTATGGGTAGTTTCATTGACCAATTGATGCATTTGTCATTTCAGTTTCTGTCTTCCTGAAAAACTATATTGTAATTTTCTGCATCAGCACTATAGGTGATACCTGTACTGCCATGAATGAATGGGTGCATTATCCTCACACTGAGACAGCACTCAGCAACATTCTTCCTTGCGTTGATCTGAAAACAACAAATCGCACATTGTACCAAAGCAAAGAAGTCATTCTCCAGCTAGTCAGTGTAGTCAATTCGGTAATTAGATCCGTCGCAAATTCAAACAATGCATCTTCAAAATCTTCTGTGTTCTTCAATCAATCTGGAGCTGAAATGCCACTTCTCTGTTCTCCATACGATTCCAAACTCCAGCTACGACATTGCCAACCTCATGAAGTTTCATTCAGCAACGCTTCTTTGGTATAAGCTGTCATGTTTGTGTTAAAAAAGAAAACAAAATAAATAATTTAATAAGTTAACTAACACCATTATCTGATTTACATTACAGGTGTGGAAAAACTACATATGTGAAATCTCCAAATCAGGTTACTGTACTGGTGTAGGAAGGATTTCTCCTAATATGTACACTCAGCTGGTGATAGCTGTTAATGCAAGCTATGCTCTTGATCACTATACTCCATTGCTTCTGAGCCTACAGGACTGTAAATTTGTTCGTGAATCCTTCAATACTATTACAACCAACTACTGTACTTTCCTGGAGCAAGATCTCAGCATGGTCAATGCTGGGCTTGTCCTGATCTCCATTGGTGTTATCCTCTGCCTCTTCTTGTGGATCTTATATGTTAATCGCCGCCAAAGTGAGGTTTCTGTAACTCTATCTGAAGTTCTTGGAGTATCTTCTCTACCTACTTAATAATTTTTTTAGTATTGTCCTTATAATCATTTGGCATCTCAGATGGAGCGAAGCGCCGTCTGATGCTAATATATTTGTGTCCTAATGCATAATTAGGAGCCCTTTTTAATGATTAATGGAGCAAGTTTTAACCAAACTTGTTTTCTTAGTTGCATCTTTTTTTTTTTTTAAATGCTTGTAATTTTTCATTTACTTCCGGAAACAGAGAGAGACCTGATGGCGGGATATAAAGAACTGTTTTGTACTCACAAAGAGAAACATGCATATCCTAGTGATACAACAAAACTAGAGTAAACATAGAAAGTGAAAATTAAATATTTAATTCATTAGTAAAAACTCAAATAGATAGTATACCAAAACAATAATATTGATACAAGCAAAGGAATGTAGTAGGATGAATAACATGAAAGAAACTATCCAACTCATAAAGCAAATATGTAATAATCTATCCCAACATACAAAAATCTAAAAATAGTTTACTATTGATAACTTTGATCTTGAGATGAAGGTTTGCTAAACTCGTCTGCAAGATTTGCTATGAAAAGAGATAACGGGTGAGTTTGATAAATCAAATTCAACAAGGTCTTTTATCTATAAAAGTATAAATAACAAATGAATAGAGCATGCAATATGAACAATTATAAGGTAGTAATAACAGCCTATATTCACTAAATCAAGGAAGCAATGAGACATGCAATGCTTCGTATGACAACATTTTGATATGCTAATATAATTAATGCATATATCAAACTGCTACACACAATATCATTCTAATACAATTACATCAGGTATCATCATATCCCTAAATGTCGTATCAGTCATTTATGTTTTTTAGCTAGTATATTTATATATGTATATACATATCTACATATATTTATAGTCGGTTTATCAAATAACCTTCATCGGAAAGGTAAACATCAACCTAAAGAAATCAAATGATTTTCTATAGAGTCATTACTCTGTGGGCATGTCAGCCCAGCTAGCCAATAATCAATAGGATTTTATGGACTTACACACCATTAAACAGTGCAAGTGTTATTACAAATAACCAACTTGTATTATATAGCTAAACATGACAATCACAATTTATATAATTAATATGATTTACAGTAGGAGTATCATGTACTGCATTAAATAGAATTGATAATATATGAATTAAATTTTCTACAACATGAACTATTTTAAGTGATAAAAGCTCGCACATTAACAAATCAAAGTAATATTATTTCTACCACATGATGATTTTAATATGAGTCATAAATAAGATTCATGACATGCACAATACTAATAATAAATATTGAAAATAGATCTAGCAATGAAATATCTAGAAAATCTATCATAAGCAACAAAGACATCGCCCCTAACAAAAAAGGGTACGTTTATCCAAAATAAATAACAATTATTTATTTTTAGATCAGTGACGCGAAACAGTAAGCCTACAAGATATTCAACCAACAGAGTTACGAGGGAAACAAATCAAAAGTTTTATAAGAACCGCAACCAAATAGTTATAAGCAAGCGCTTTGAAGCATTCAAGTTAATTGACTTAAGTTAATATTAACTATTGCAGAGATGCTATTAACCTTATAATCATTCTAATCAGACTAGGATGACAATAATTTTGAAAATTCCTCATAACTAATTAATTAATAGAGTAATATTTATGATGCAATGAAAATATCAAGACTATAATTTAATCTACTTGAATCATTAATCATAAATAATAATTTTTTTTCATACAAGCCAAAACCCAAATATTAGAAATTTGAGGCTATACAAAATCAATACGGATCGAATCTTAATTCTCACTATAAACAAAAGAACTATTAATTTAGTGATTAGAATCATTAGAAGAAGAAATAAAGGAGGAAAGGGAAATGAACTTACTATGGAATGAGGGAGATTGAGACATGTTTGTCTAATGTTGATGTCGGGGGAAGGTTGTTGTTAAGGAAGTAGGAGAGGGTGCTTCTACGACTGCTGTTTGTGAGAGATAAACAAAGAGGAAGAATTTCGAGAGAGGTCTGACTACTATTGTTAAGTTACATAGATGATTGATCAATTTTTGAAGTTACTCTTGAAAATGCAATAAATACAATAATGTCTTGACGACTACTGGTTTGTAATAATCATTTAATAATATTAATGTCAATTAAAAAAAAAAACTTTGGAATAGAGAAAGATTGGATTAACTCGGTGCTTGAAGGTGAAGTACTTTAGCTAATAAAGAATTTCCCAAAGACGAGTATTGCAAGGGTCCAATATTTGAAAAGAATTGAAGTCAAAAGAAAATAAAGTGGGTAATTTCAATTATTTTTATAGCAAAGTCCAATTTTCTTTTATATTATATCAATTTCTTTTAATTATTTAATTGCTACATGATTATAACACTATATTGATCTAATGGTTATCATATGAATACATTATTTGAGAAGGAAAAGAAATAAAAAGGTGAAATATTTGCTACATGATTTTCTATAGACCATAGTGATGCATCTAAAGTACTTAATACTTTATATTTATATATATATATATATGTGTGTGTGTGTGTGTGTGTGTTATTTATTTTATATGAGTATTTTATATGATTAACTATTGTATATGAAACGATGAACACCCGCTAAGTTTACTTAGTAAACTCACTTTATTAAATTAACTTTTTTAGGTAAGTCTCTTGGTAAATATAAATGAAAGAAATAGAAAATTTTGTGTATAGAAGATGATGCTCAAATGAAAGCATGTAAAATATGTTTATGTTTAAAAACATATTCAATGTATAAGTTGTGTTAGTAGCTCTTTAGTATTTGAGGAATATGAGTCATTCCTATTATGTGTAATTGATGAAAAAAATATATTAACTATTCGACTGTTCGTTTCTGTCTTGTTAATTCGAGTCGGGCCGGGTCGTGACATCTCTAATTTGATGATTAGAACCATAAGAAGAAGAAAGTGAGGAGGAGAGGGAAGTGAACTTTCTATAGAATGAGGGGAGATTGAGACACTTTCGCTAAAGACTGATGTCAGAGAAGGTTGCTGTTGAGAAAGTGGGAGAGGGTGCTCGACGTTGGCTATTTGCCAGATAGAAATGAAGAGTAAGAATATGAGAGGTCTAACAGCTGTTGCAAGAAGGGGAAGGGAAATTTAATGTTTTTAGTCTCCTATTTCTTTAAATATCGAGAGGAAGGTTTGGCGAGGTGGGAGGATTCTGTAAGGCGGTGAAATTGCATAATTATCGCGAGTGGAGAGAGATAGAGAGGGTCACGACTAGGGAGGCATCGCGGTTCGGCTTGCGTGCGAAGAAGGGAGGGGGGGCATGCTTGCGTTGTTCGACTTAATGCACATGTTCCACATGAGAGGGGACGGGAGGGCTTAGTTAGCGAGAATATGCCTGGACTGATTTGATCCATGTCCTGATTATTACAGAAGTTGAGGCATAAATTTAGTTCATTCCTTTCATTAAGAGCAATTCAATGCTTTTTGAGGTTTCATAAATTTGAGCTCATGAGAGGCTATAGGCAATTATTGGGTTGGTATGGATTGATTTTGAATTGATGATGAATGACATTAATAAAACACTATTTTTATGCCATGATGTTCACTTTTTTAGTAATCCAAGATTGCTAAACAAGTTGCATATCAAAGGCTTTGATAAAATAAAAAACTTCAAAAATATTATATTTATAAAAAAGAATTATTAAAAAAAAGGAGAATTCTTGATGATCTAAATAAAATATTTGATTTAGGATCTAACACATCCTAAAAAAATACATGTATTTTTGTTTAAGGGGCAAATTATTGAAATTTGAAGGATTTGAGTTTAAATTTGAATTTTGACATTAAAGGAATAGAAAAAAATATTTTCATGAATAATAATAATTAAAAAATATTTCTAAAATTTAAAAAGAAAGAAAAAGCTATGACTTTTGAGTTGTTATATATTCCAAGTCTCAAGTCTCAGAGATCCGTGCATGAAGTAAATCTATTAGCTTCTCTACAAGGGGGACCGGAAAAAATGACCAAACGAATGACCATTTCAAGCCACTAAACCAGTAGCCGTCTTATGTGGGTGGGTATAAGAGCACGCGCGTGCGTGATAACGTAATTATTTTCCCCGAAATTTCCTCGATCCTTCTGAACAGCGCAGCGGGTGATAAGCGATAGGCTAGTAGAAAAGTGATTGTATTGTTCTGGTACTTATCATATAAGTCCGTGGGCTTATTACTCGGTCCATATCAGCTGAGGGGACTTCTAATCTTACATAAAGACGCAATAGACCCCACCGCAAACCCCAACAGCTCTCTTCCCCAATTCTCATCCTTTTTTTTTCTACCCCCTTATCGTTCTCTACTTCTGCGCCTCCGCTTGCGATTTCCTACTTTTTTTTCTCTATCGAGATTTCTCTCTCTTAGCTTCAATCGGAGACGGGTTCTCCGGCGATCGATCCGGGGGCCTACGCTTACTCCTCCACCCGATCCGAATAGGCGAGGTAGGATCCAGTCGCCGTCGCCGGATCCCCGATCCGAAATAGCCCTGATCTCGCGGTATTGCACCTGGCCATGAGTTCTCTTAGCAGAGAACTCGTGTTCTTGATACTGCAGTTCCTAGACGAGGAGAAGTTCAAGGAGACGGTTCATAAGTGAGGAATCCACCAAAGCCCTCTTCTAGCCCTTGTCTCCATCCTGGAATTCTACTTTTTCTTCGCTTTGTTTTTGATTTGGTGCACTTGGCTTGTGAAGGTTGGAGCAGGAGTCGGGGTTCTTTTTCAATATGAAGCACTTCGAGGAGACGGTTCTCGGTGGGGATTGGGAGGAGGTGGAGAGGTATCTCTCAGGATTCACCAAGGTGGACGATAACCGTTATTCTATGAAGATTTTCTTTGAGATTCGGAAGCAGAAGTATCTCGAGGCTTTGGATAAGTTCGTATAGTTATTTTTTGTTGCGGAGGTTTTTCTTGTTTATGGCTTTTTTTAAAGTTGTTTATATCTTATTTTTGTGTTGCTTGGATGTTGTGGTGGCAGGAAAGAACGGTCCAAGGCTGTGGATATATTGGTGAAGGATCTCAAGGTCTTCGCTGCTTTCAATGAGGACCTATTTAAGGAGATCACCCAGCTCCTGACCTTGGATAATTTCAGGTATCGCTGTTGAATTCAGATTTTGATAACTTAATTTTGTGCTTGAATACAACCTTTTTTGTTGTTTTGGGTTCTCCTTGTGCAGGGAAAATGAGCAGCTTTCCAAATATGGCGATACCAAATCAGCAAGGGCCGTAATGCTCTCTGAGCTTAAGAAGTTGATCGAGGCCAATCCTTTGTTTCGTGACAAGCTGCAGTTCCCAAACCTTAAGAATTCGAGACTGAGGACGCTTATTAATCAGAGGTATGATGTTGTAGCTAAGTTCTCATTCCCCAGACTCCTCTAATTTTGTAGCATTCTAACTGCATTGTTCTGTACAGTTTGAATTGGCAGCATCAACTATGTAAGAATCCGAGGTCAAACCCAGATATTAAAACACTATTTTATGATCATTCTTGCTCTCAACCAAATGGTGCTCGAGTGGCATCTCCAGCTCCTCCTGTCATGAACGTGATGCCTAAGCAGGGGGGATTTCCTCAACTAGGTCCACATGCAGTTGGTGGGGTTATAACGGTGATTAGTAAATCTCTGAGCTATGTATACACCAAGTTGATATCATGGGACACATGATGTATATATATTTCATTTTTTCTTTTACTTCTCAGCCTTTTCAGCCACAAGCAACAAATCTTCCAACAACTCTTGCTGGTTGGATGGCAAATGCATCCAATGCCACTCCCATGCCGCATCCAGCTATATCGGGTGGTCCCCTTGGCCTTGCTGCTCCTCCCAGTTCAGGTACTTATAAATAACTTTTAGCTATGTGCTCAATTCATGTCCTCTTAAATTTGTTTCAGATATTAATATCTTTTGACTTTAATTCGTGCGGCTTATATTCATCATCTACATTAACTTTTCATAAATATTTGATTAGACTTATGATTCCTCATTCTTTACTTATTATTGATGAGTATTATTTAAGTGGAGACCCTTTATTCCACCAGATTTTTTGGACAGTTTTAGTTTTAAAACTGTTAGATCGGTCCACTGGACAGGTCCAGCCGGTCCACATGGGACCGGCCCAGGCGAAACATGCGAACTCTCCCGCCTATCTGTATGCGTCCGACGAGTCGCCCGGTTCCAAAGAGCCGTTTTAGGAAGTTTTTTTGAGGAAGTTTAGGAGAGAAATTGAATGTAGGGACTGTTTAGAGATTTCCTTTTGATTCGTATGCATTAAATACTTGGTTTTCATAGGGTTATGGCATCTTGAATTTGGCTGAAATTTGAGATATCTTAGATTTAGGTTTTCTTTGGGCTCTGGCGGCGTCTATAGATTTGGGAGAGATCGATCCTCCTCTCGAATTGAGGATCAAGTGTATTTTGCTAGTTTTCGTGTTCCTTTCATCAAATAATACAAATTATCTACTGTTTTTGTGACTTTGTGCGGATTTTTGTGAAGAATTCTCGCCGTTTTCCGAAGATTTATAGAAAATACTTGAGATCTACAAGTGTGTCCTATCAAATTAGTATCAGAGCAAAACTTGGGACCGTTCGTGGGCTGATTTTGGCGAAGTTCGGCGACTGATTTTTGGTCGGGAAGGGACAGAGTTGCGGTTTTTGTAATCTAAATACGGAATTTTTGGATTTACAAAAGTTCAGATAGAGATGACGGCCAAGAAAGTTGATGCGCTAGAAGAAAGGCTTGAAGGGGATATGAATCAAATCAAGACAACGGTGGAGGAAAGTATTTCCTCCATGGAAGGATAAGTAACCGATCTCCGGGACATGATGAAGAAAATATTGGAAATTCACAATCAAACGACTGCTTCCGTGGCAAAAGAGGATGAAAGAAAAAATACGAATTCTAAAATTCATAGGGAGGAAGATGAGTTGGAAATCAGGGAGGGAGAAAGAAGGAAACCCTATCTGGAGCCTTTCCAGAGGGAGGATAGAGGAGGTAGGTATGGGGAAAGGCATGTGTATGGAGGGATGGAGCAAAGTGGTGTTGATTGGGAACGCTGGGAGGGACATTATGGTTGCTAAGGTGTTGATTTTGAAGGAAGAAGAGGGGAAGTCGAAGGGGGTTTGGGCTATGGCAGGGCAAGGGAAAATCGGGAAACGTGGGGTGGGCCGAGCACTTGGGAGATGGGAAGCTATGGAGGAATAAGAGGAAATGGTAGAGATCAGAAGGTGAGGAAGTTGAAGATGCCTATATTCGAGGGGGAAGATGCGTATGGGTGGATCTATAAAGTGGATAGGTACTTTGCTGTTAATGGGCTAACGGAGGAGGAGAAGCTCACAGCAGCAGGCCTATGTTTGGAGGGGAAGGCACTGTCATGGTACCAGTGGATAGACCAGAGGATACCTATCAGGGACCGGAGAAAATTAAAAAACTGCATAATAGAACGTTTCTAAACCGACCGGGGAGGAGATTTCTATGAACAGTTCTTTGCTCTAGTGCAGGAGGGATCAATAGAAGACTACCGTGAGCGGTTCGAGCACTTGGCTAGTAGGGTGGAACGATTATCAGATATTATATTGGAGGGGAACTTCATGAAGGAGTTGAAGGCAGAGATCCGAGTGACAGTGAAAGTTCTGATGCCTAGTGACTTGGGGGAGGCCATGAGGTTGGCACAGCAGGTGAAAAATCAGAAGAATCTGGAGAACGGAGCCAGGAGCAGCAGCTCAGGAGGCTCTTACAAGACTACGACCACTCTTTTAGCACCCAAGGGGCTTGCATCAGACAACATTAATGAGACCACCAGGGAGAAGCCAGTAGGAGGGAGTGGGGAAAACTTCAAGAGGCTGGCAGAGAAGGAGATGCAGGAGAAGAGGGCAAAGGGGTTGTGTTTCAGGTGTGAGGAGAAGTATACGCCAGGGTATCGGTGCAAGGACCGAACTCTTCAGGTTCTCACCATCTGCGATGACGAGGAAACTGAGGAGGGAGGTGAGGAGGAGATGGAGGAGAAACTACACTTGGATCTGACTGAGGTTTCCCTGAACTCAGTGGTAGGATTCACTACGAATCATATCATGAAGGTGAAGGGGGAGATAGAGTGTAGGGATGTGGTGGTGTTAATTGATAGTGGGGCTACCCACAATTTCATTTCCACTCAGATCATCGACCAATTGGGAGTGAAATTGGTGGACATCGGTTGTTATGGAGTGATGATGGGTACAAGGAAGGTGGAGAAAGATCAGGGGATCTGTAGAGGAGTGGTGTTGACCATCCAGGGGATTTAGGTAAGGGAGGATTTTCTCCCACTAGAGTTAGGAAGTATTGATGTCATATTGGGGATGAAGTGGTTGCAAACCTTGGGAAAAACCAAATATAATTGGGGGGCACTCACGATGGAATTAATGGTGGATGGGAGAAAGGTAGTTATAAGGGGAGATGTAGAGCTATCCAAAGCCATGGTATCACTTAAGACCATAGTTAGGGACATACAAGAGGTGGGGGAAGATTATCTGGTGGGACTACATAGGCTGAATATGATAAGATTAGAGGGAGGGGATGTTTCACTTTTAGTGCAACACTTGACTTAGTAATTTGGTAAGTTTTTTCAGCCATCTCAAGGATGGCCACCTCCACAAGAACACGAGCATATTTCCACCTTGAGGACGTCCTCAAGGTGGATCTTTGGGAGGAGAGTATTGTTAGACCGGTCCACTGGACCGGTCCAGCCGGTCCACACGGGACCGGCGCAGGCGAAACAGGCAGACTCTCCCGCCTGTCTGTACGTGTCGGACGAGTCACCCGGTTCCAATTTCCAAAGAGCCATTTTAGGAAGGAATTTTGAGGAAGTTTAGGAGGAAAATTGAATGTAGGGACTGTTTAGAGATTTTCTTTTGATTCATATGCATTAAATACTTGATTTTCCTAGGGTTAGGGCATCTTGAATTTGGCTAAAATTTGAGATATCTTAGATTTAGGTTTTCTTTGGGCTCTAGCGGCGTCTAGAGATTTGGGAGAGTTCGATCCTCCTCTCGAATTGAGGATCAAGTGTATCTTGCTATTTTCCGTGTTCCTTTCATAAAATAATACAAATTATCTACTGTTTTTGTGATTTTGTGCGGATTTTTGTAAAGAATTCTCACTGTTTTATGAAGATTGTTAGAAAATATTTGAGATTTACAAGTGTTTTCTATGAAAAACATTTGGTCTACTCATTTTCTTCATAATTGTTCATGTAATTCGATACAGTCTCCTTACCGATAAACCGCTTGCTCTTTGTTGTAAGTCCCCTAACAACCTAACTCTATTATCGACCCCTTCATCTTTAATAGTGGTATACTCATAATCTCTGTAATATAAGTGTTTCTCTTTTTATCCTTGTAAATTTTACAGAAATCCATCTTGACATCTATTTTTAATATTATTAAGTTGATTACAGCTGACTAATTTGTTGTTAAACCCACAATTCATGTAGCCTCTAGTTTAACTATAGTTTATAATACCTATTTTATCTCTCTATGATTTTCTCTTATTGCATGGTGCTATGGAGGCACTTCTATTTTAACCACCCAATTTTAGATAAAATGTGAAAACAATATCTTTATTAAACATACTTTACTGTCAGACGATTATTGAACTTATAAACGTTGTACTTACAGCCTTTTTTTAATCAATGTAGCTGCTCTCTTGAAACGCCCTGTGACTCCTAACAGCAACCCTCCTGTGGATTATCACTCCGCAGATTCGGAACATGTTCTTAAACGGCCACGTGCTATGGGAATATCTGAGGAGGTAACTCTATTCTTCTTTTTGTTTGAGTTTACCATTTTATTCATTTCTCCACTGGAAACTATTGGATTTTTTTTTCAAGTTAGCTAGATGCTTCCTTGTAAATGCCTGACATCCCTAATCTATGGCTCTGTTGCAGGTTGCCCTACCAGCTACTCACTTGCCTGTAGGTTATGCTGCTATTCCAAGGAACCAGTACAATACTGATGAGTTGCCAAAGAATGTAGCCGTGACTTTAAATCAAGGGTCTGCTGTGATGAGCATGGATTTTCACCCTTCTCAGCCAACTCTTCTTCTAGGTTACAGCTTTGTTTAGTAGATTATTTTGTTAATTCTTGTGGGAATATATTAGACCATGCAACTTAGGTTTTTGGGATCTTCCAGTTGGCACCAATGTCGGTGATATTGCTGTGTGGGAGGTGTCCACTAGAGAAAGACTTTCTCATAGAAATTTTAAAGTCTGGGAACTTTCAGCATGCTCAACTCTCCTGCAGGTACTCTTAACTTTGGGGTTTGCATGGAGTTTTTTATCCTTTATGACTAAATGCATTTTTTTCAATGTTTTGATGAGCAGTCCACTTTGGTTAAGGATCCTTCCATATCCGTTAACCGTGTTCTTTGGAGTCCTGATGGCAGTCAGTTTGGTTAGTTAAAAAATGAAACTAGTCTTTTCCTTTCTGCTCAAAAGTTTTCATGTGTTAAATATTTTATATGTAATGTATGGCTTTTATAGCAATTTATGGCTTTGGAGAAATTTTGGAAAAGATCATTCATGATGTTGGAGAAAATTAGTCAAAAATCCCATTGATGCTGCTTGATGAATCTTATAGGCTGACCCTTTTTGACTTAGGTGTTGCATATTCCAAGCACATTGTGCACTTGTACAATTACAATGGCCGTGATGATCTATCACAGCACTTGGAGGTACTTCTTATGACTTATTTTTCTTCACTAGGACATAACAATCTTAGCTCACAAATTAGATTTTCTATATTATTATTTGTTTGTTTTTTTTCTGTGATGTTCCTATCTATTAGATTGATGCCCATAGTGGTGGGGTTAATGACATTGCTTTCTCACAACCGAACAAGCAATTGTGCATTGTGACTTGTGGAGTTGACAAAACTATCAAGGTTTGTATGATTTACTGAGATGATGGTTAGCTTTGGAAAGTGTCCCTGTTCTTGACAATCTTCTGTCTGCAGGTTTGGGATGCTACTACTGGCGTCGTGCAGTATACTTATGAAGGTCATGAGGCACCTATTTACTCCATATGCCCACATTCAAAAGAAAATATTCATGTAACTTCCTGCTCATCTTTTAGATCTCTTGTTTGGATGCTGGATGCAGAATTTATTGAACTTTATGAAATCATGCTTAACCTTCTATCTCTATCATTTAGTTTATCTTCTCCACTTCCCTTGATGGAAAAATAAAGGCTTGGTTGTATGATAATGGGGGCTCAAGAGTGAATTATACAGCACCTGGTCAATGGTGTACTACCATGGCTTATAGTGCTGATGGAACAAGGTTGCCTATCTCCTTTATTTTTGATAAGATGACCTGATTTGATATAATGGTCATCATCTGCTTTGTTAATTATGGCATCATTCTTTATGCAAAAATCTGGTATGTTGCATGTGCATGTGCAGGCTTTTCTCTTGTGGTACTAGTAAAGAAGGAGATTCATATATTGTTGAGTGGAATGAAAGCGAAGGGTCTGTAAAGAGAACATATTCTGGTTTCCGGAAAAGGTCAATGGGGGTTGTGCAATTTGATACAACGAAAAATAGATTTTTGGCTGCTGGAGATGATTTTGTGGTCAAGTTCTGGGATATGGACAATATTAACCTTCTGACAACAACTGATGCAGAGGGTGGATTGTCGGTAATTAATTTAACTGATTGATATTTTTATTTTTGTTTTCCATTTATCTTCAGAAATTCTGATTTTAAGAAATCAATTTGTTGCATGGCTATTTATTAGGCTTCTCCACGCATCCGCTTCAACAAATTAGGATCACTACTAGCTGTTTCTACTAGTGATAATTGTATTAAGATATTAGCAAATGTTGAGGGTTTTCAACTGTTACGTTCCTTCGAAAGTCGACTTTACAGTGTTGCGAGATCAGTTTCTGAGGCAAAGGTTGGTTGCTGCTATTTACGTGATGTTTTGTGCCTTTAGCTTGCTTTTTTTGTTTGATTTATATTTTTATTTACTACAGCTAAATTAGATGCAACCATTCTTTAATGCTGCAGGCACCGACCATTAGCTCTTTGGGGGCCGTGAGTGCTATGCCTGGAATTAGTGTCGCTATTGCTGATCGTAGTACCATAGTAGCCCCTATTGTTGGATTGGTAAAATCTTTTATTCTGCAGTTTCCTGGTTGTCTATGTTTTTCATATGTTTTCTAAATCCAGCTTTCCAATAATTCATATTTTGCTTTACATTGTTTGAGGTGAACCAAAATCTCTTAAAATTGTTGCAGAATGGTGATAGTCGTAGTATTTCTGATGTGAAGCCCAAGGTTCTTGATGAGTCAGTTGACAAATCAAAGATATGGAAACTCGCTGAAATCACTGAACCATCTCAATGTTGTTCTCTTAGACTTCCAGATAATCTACTTGCTGTAAAGGTGAGGATTTCTTGCTCATTCTTGGCTCGTACAATTACAGATTTATAAAGATTTGATAACCATCGTTTGGATTTTTTGTATCTGATGCAACACAATAGTTAGAGTATTAAAAGTTTTACTTACATGCAAGGTTAACTGTTGTTTTCTTTATGCCATGAAGGTTTGAGTAGTCCGTGTAGACGTGTGATGACCTTTCTGGAAAATATGCTGCTTTATTTCTATCTTTGCATCAATCAACTAGTCCTTGCAAAATTTCATCACTCTTCTTTCATTTTTATTTTGTCATCAGACTTACACCACCTAACTTTTCAGTAAGCATCTTTCGGACCCTATTATTAAACACCGATCAAGTCATGAAAGCCTTAAATTTATTTTTTCTCAGTCATTTCCACTGATCAAGTCTACTATGAAAGCTATATTTTTATTGAGAGGTTTGATGGAGAAGTATAGAGAGAATGAGGAGGATCTACATATGATATTTATTAATTTAGAGAAAGCATATGATAAAGTTCCAAGAGAAGTATTATGGAGAGTTCTAGAAAAGGAAATGGTTAATAATGCTTGTATTTTAGTCATTAAAGATATGTATGCAGGAGCTGTTCCTTGTGTTCAAACAGAAGGTGGATTGACCAAGTATTTTCCTATTTCAGTTGAATTACATCAAGGATCAACCTTAAGCCCATATCTTTTTTGCTTTAGTCATTGGATATTCTCACTACACATTTGCAAGAGGTTTTACCCTGGTGTATGCTTTTTGCTAATAATATTCTTGTTGTTGATAAGACTAGAGAGGGAGTTGAAGGTAAACTTGAATTATACAGGTCCACCTAAGAGTCTAGGCTTTCATTTGAGTAGATCTAAAACTAAATATATGGAGTGTAATTTTAGTAATAATAGATCTAGTGGTGGGATTGTGACTTTGGACGATCAAGTCATTAATAAGAGTACACATTTTAGATATGTTGGGTCTATTGTTCAGAGTAATTGTGAAATAAATGGGAATACTATTAGTAGAATTCAAGTTGGACGATTGAAGTGGAGGAATGCATCGGGCTTGTTGTGTAATAGAAAAGTCCCCCTCCAACTTAAGGGAAATTTCTATAAGAGGGTGGTGAGACCGACAATGCTTTATGGTGCAGAATGTTGGCCATTAAAAGAGAAACATAATATTAAGTTAAGTGTTGCAGAGATGAGGATGCTCAGGTGGATGAGTGGCTTTACTCTTAGAGAGGATATGAAATGAGCATATACGTGCAAAAGTTGGAGTAGCTCCAACAGAAGATAAGATTAGATAGAGTAGCCTTAGATGGATTGGTCACATAAAATAGTGGCCTTCCCATGACCAGTTAGGAAAGTAGATGTATTAGATTTGACTTATGTTAAGAAAGGTAGAGGTAGACGTAAAAAGACTTGGTTAGAAAATATTAGAAATGACATTTCTTTGTTAGATTTAAATGAGAATTTGACTCTTAACATGACACAATGGAGAAAAGGAATTCATATAGTTGATCCCACATGGTGAGATAAAGGCTTGATGTTGTTGTTGTTGTAGTCATTCCATGAAATGCATGTTTGCATTGTGTTATTCTAATTATCAAAGGGATATATAGATTATTATTAAATTATTTTGATAAGATTCTTATGCTTGGAAGTAATAAAAAGGCTCACTTATATAGATAAGCATAGTAATAGCGCCTTTGCTCAATATTTCAGATCAAACAAATGTAACGACATGTTTTTATTGAACATTATGTGTTTTAATAATTTTACTGACATGATTCCAATAAGTGATCATTTCAAAAGCTTCTAGAGGGAATGTTTTGACAAATTTTGGCAGTTGTGGAATTTTTGCTTTAATTGAGTTGTTTGTGTCCTAGTCATAGTCTTAAAAATTTGATCATTTGTGGTGCAAATAAAAACATTCTACCAAACTAGTTGTTTTTAATATAAAGCTACAATGAAATTCAGCGGTTAATGTAAAAACTTGACAAGGGCATCAAAATAAAAAAAATATATCGTGGTTTATAAGAGCACCTATGCTGTATAAATTCAACCAAGTCAATCATGATTTTAGCCTCTAAGCCAGCAAGGATTGAATAATTTTACTAATGAAAAGAAGCATACCGATCATCTTAGCATTACCAATCTTCTTCCTCAAATTCAAGACCTAAAATTCACATGTTTGTGAGAAAGTTACTAACATAATTAATATCCGTTATAATTTTATCGATGGAAAGAATATTAGAATCAAATTTTGGAATAAGTGTAACAGTAGAAAGGGATCCATCTTCAAACGAACAATGAGGTTTCCATTATATGATTTATACTCATGGAGCTAATATGACCTTTGTTGACCCCAGCAGTAGATAAAAAAAGAAGAAGAATGGCTTAAATGATTACCTTTACAAGCCCATGCTGATTTCCTGTACAAATCCAACCTACATCCTGCCTCTGCTACAATCCTTATCTCTGCGATTCGACGCCGAAATGTCCTCTCATGTCATTCTCTTCACGATACCTGCTCCGCAAGCCACAAATGCTGATTAGAACAGCACAGCTTTGTCAATAAAAAGGAGAATGAGAAGGAGGTTTCGGTTTTTATGCAAGAAACGAGCCATTCGACCCCGCTCTTTGTATCCACTTCTTCCCCCTTTTAGTCCGGCCAAAACCTCTTCAATCCTGCAGCCTCTTCCCACCTCCCTCAGTCTACATCGACGTCGACAAAACTCCACCACACTTCAATTACTATTGACCTACTTCAGTCGAACCAAAAACCATTGTGCCGACCTTCATTCGCAAACATATGAAGCCGAACTTGATGCAGTCGCACCCACCGTTAGCCTGTAGCTTCTAGCCGATCAATCTTCCTCTTCCTATGTTGTTGCTGCACCACCTCTCTACCTTAGCCATATGAACTCGCCGATGCCATAACTCCAAACCCGCACCCATACAACCTCTTGTTCTGATCTCCTTCAATCCTAGTCGAACCTAAGCAAGCTCTCGCCGCTGCCTTCCTCATCTCTCATGACCAAGACAACTGAACTCAAGACCCGACCTCACACGACTCCTGGCCGACCGAACTCCCCATCCAACCCCAACAAAACCAATCTTTGCCCTAGCCGCAAGCATAGTCGCGACCCATCTTCGATCCTTCTAAAGCTCGAAGCTGACGTTCCTCTTAGTTGACCCGATCGTAGCTCACATGACTCCACTTTTCTACCTAATCAACCTACCCAACCCGATCTCCCTCATAGATCATAGAATAGGGTATATTAAGTTTCTTTTTTTGTGTTATTTGTGCTATTTATCATTATTAATGTTTATTATTCTTAATGTGTGTGTGTATATATATTAATGTTTAATTTATGCAAGAAAAAAAGAGGAGGTTAAAAAAAAGGAAAGACAAAAAAGAGGAAAGATTTTTCAAAAAAAAAAAAGGAAAATAAAAAAAAGAGAAAAAAGGAAATACTTTGTCTCAATTTGCGTGCCACAATGTTGTCCCTATCTCCATCGCACAAAGGTATAACATTCTAAATTCAAAATCCCCATTTTCGGCGTTCGTGTCGAGCCAAAAAATTCCCTATACGCGTTCTCGTAGCACGGTAGGAGGAAACCTGATGCGACGCATACGGCGAGGCGGGTAAGCCCTATACACGCTCTTATAGCTTGGTGGGGAGTCCTTAAGTACCCGTACATGCCCTTGTGACGTGGTAGGGAAAGCCACTTATGTTCTTTAAGAAGGTACTTTGCAGCCCCCATACACACTCTTGTAGCAGGGTGGGATGACCCAGTTTCCCGTAGTTTCCCCTAAACGGGGGAGACGCCAGGAGGCTGCCGAAATTTCGTTTGAAATGCACAAAGGACTTGGACAAATTAACAGGGGACTTATGAACTTGATTTGGACCAAATGACAAGGACTTTATTTGGACATTAACTTGAACACAAATGAACCGAACTCATTTTGGATTTGAATTGAACTTGCATATGGAACTTGGCCTGAACTGAACATGAACTGCTTGAGACTTAAACAACTGATGGCGGGGAATCAAACTCAAGTGATAGACAATAAACCAAGTTTTAATTTGACAAATGTATAATAAAATTGAAATATAAAAAGGGCTATGTAATGGCCTAAGGCATTCAAACAAATGTGGGATTTACAAGCACCACTCACTAACAAGTAATGGTGGAATCATAAAGAATATTATTTAATAACATGGTGCTTTCAATGGACCACATAACTTGCATATAAACGAAAATAATTGGTTCACAACATTTATCTTGAGAATGTGAAAAAAACTACAATAAATACAATGACATGTTCATAAGTAAAATATGAAGGAGGTGAGTGACATGCTTCATATGTGATGTTCCACTACCAAAATATGCATGGGGGAGTTGCAATGAACACGACTTGCTTAAATTCAATGCCAATTAAGTTGCAAACAAACATATCAATCTTCCCATAAGTGATGTTAGCAATAGACATGCGACGAATACTACAACATTCTTCCAATTTACATCAACTAGTTAACAAATAAAAGCTGCAATTTCTTACAAGTACTGGAAACTAATGTGTGGTGAATGTGATAACACATCATGGATGTTATCAAAATACATCAAGCAATAAAGGAGTTCCATGCAAACATACATGTTAATGAACTATGCATGAATGGTAGTGATAAATAGGCAGGGACATGCTCATGAGAGAAGCGTAGAGAATGTACGATGGATAACATACGACAAACACAATGACTTGTTAACTGGTGTGTATTCAGAAAATAAAAAATAAAGTGCAGTTTGTGTACTATTAATATGGAGAGCATAGTAATATGCCTGCAAATGGCAATACTCTGTACAAACATACATAATGCATCATACGATAAATGTTATCATCTGCTGACGGCGATAGGGGAGGTGTCGTATGTATAATAATACACCTATCAGTGATGATCAACAACAATAGACACGTCAAGGATGACAAATCTTTTGCAAACATAGATGCATTTACGATGGGCTATCTATGAGCAGATGCACAAGTTCTCTGTAAGTGAAGGAAATCAACATATAGTGAACACTAAAGCATCCCCTCAACTAATATTCGCTAGTTAGAAGGTGAAAGCTACAGTCCTCCACAGACATTAAAAATTGATATGCAATTAATATTGTAATGCCCTATAGTCAACATCAATTAAACAATGTAGCCTCTTACAAATTTGCCCAGTGGAACACACAATGAATGCAAATACCCACTACAAACAATAGAGAATGCCGTAATACTCCCACAGCCAACAATAATCCAATGGAAGACAAATATATAGATCCCTTGCAAGCAAAAGGTGATCGATTGGCGATAATGCAAATGCTTAAGGGTCGCCGCAAAATACCTGTTTCATATCCAACATGTTGTCGGCAAGCAAAGAAGAAAGAATTACAGCAAGAGCAAGCTCATACGAACAAACGCATGAGATTTGTTAGTGCACTATAATTCATCTGCACGAAGCAACAAGTAGTGCACGACAATCTACCTGTATGAAATGAGCAAATGACCATAATACGCCATCGGATCCAAAACATTTATACAAGTAGACAGAAGGCATGCACGAACTTCCAAGTAGAGCGTTGCATTCAAATGATGGTTGCCCGCTTAACTGATCAACGCTAAACATTCAAAAATACCCTCACACATACACTATAATATGTATGCACATAGGTACACATATGAGGATGTATCATACACCCGCATGGGCCTCAAAGAGTGTGTGGGGATGCTGTGCGGGTCAATAAATGAACCACAATTTGAGCCCGATCTTTCTATATGGATAAATAGGAGTCGACACGGCTCGAATTATCAAATAGATATATGTTCAAGGCACCGACCGAAATATATATTTTATACGCTCATATAAGGCCTTCAAGGTGTATGACAAAAGAAATTCATCAACAAAAACATAAAGTTTATGGACCTGATCCTCCATCGACCAGTAGATAGAGTTGACAAGGTCCAATCAATAAAATACAATTGCCCACTAACACCCCGATGATGACCGTGTTGAACGCAAATCTCAACTGAAGAGATTAATTCCAAATATTCAAAACACCACCCAAATACCCATGAAATCTAAAAAAAAGTCTGAAATATTTAAAATTAAAATTTAATCATTAACCGCTTAAAGCAAAATCTATCCACCATCCGCAACAATTTACCGAGTTTGACAAGCTGAAAAATACTTCAGCTCACAAAGAGTTATTGTCTGGCCGAGAATATTATTAGGATTCATTCTCAAATAGTCTCTTGCTAGTGGGGACGTGACGCGTGTTCTCTAACCGACAAGGCTTGCATGTCACCACAGAGTAGATACTTCCGTTGCTGCTAAACATGCAAAGGGATGAAGAAAGATAAAACAGGAGGACAAATTTGAGGAAGAACTCTGGGAATTTCTATTATACCATATCGAACTATTTGTAAGACTTTATTGATTCAATTCTTCATGGATTCAATGGTACAAGCTAGGCATAAATGGAGGATATAACTTGCAATTTTTTGATGGAAAACTAAGTAATAAGGAAATGTGATAAGATACGATCTACGTATTTGAATTCAGATGTTTGCTTCATCTAATGACAAAGAATGATTGAGGCATGCCTATGAATGATGAGGTGGACGAAGCAACATTGAAAACTTCTTTAGATAGTGTAGGCGGATGGACAATAAGATTCATTGCCTCTCTAAAATTCTAGTGCATCATGAGTAACCGCTAAATATTTACATTGGAGGCCTTCAGATAGATTCCATCATTAAATAAGTGTTGTCCATTGTAAAACTCACTTGCCAAAAAATCATCAAGTTTCCTTGCTTGATACTTGTTTATGCTTTTTAGAGCATAGTTTAACAGATGCTAAAATTGATATATGTATTATGTTTTCAAAATCTTAAACAAATAGGTCCTTATGTTAAATTAAAAAAATATATCTTTTGGTTTTTATATATGAGTGAAGGTTTTATTGATGTGTCGTTAATAGTTAACAATAGAAATATTCTATCACATTTTTTTCTAAATGAAGGGAACATACTATTAAGGGAAATACTGAATTTTAAAGAATAAAAGATAAATTGTACATGCTTTATGCTCTTTTAACTCTACAAATCAGCTAACTCAAAAGCCAGTTTGATTTTAAAAGCCCATAACCTTACAAAGCTATTATACAATCACCACTCGCATGAACTCAATCTCTCGCAGAAGAGTTGGTCTACAAGATTCAAAGCCAAACCTTGAGCTACAAGAACCACACTCATTTTATTAGTTATGAAGATGCTTACAATAATATTCAAAATGAGGTATCTTGATGTATGTTATTTGCATAAGGTAATTTTAATAAAACCTTTTATAAATGAAATAAAAATACTGTAAGAAACTTTAGGTGAGAAAGGGCTTAGAATTGGTAGAGTGAAAAATAAAGTACAATATCTGCAATTTAGTCAGTATTAAATTGATAATTATAAATAATTTGTTGGAAGATTACAGTGATGTTGAGGTGCGATCTGTTCTGTATCTTGATAAGTCTATATAAAATTTTTAACAAGGCATTGCAAAGGTGGATATAACCTTTAATGTTGAGGTTATAACCTAAAATATCTTTATATAAGATATTGTGGATGTATGGTTTGCTATAACCTTTTTTGTTAACGTAGGTTTGGAAAAGTGACTTAATAATTAGTTGCATGTGATAAGAGAATATCATGGAGCTTTTAGGGTTGAGTTTAGAAATTGCAATTTGTGCTGGATATTTTATAACGAGGTATCTGCCATGTGCATGCACCATGGCTCTATCAAACCCTTTATGTTGGTTTCCCATTTATTTTAACAAGTATGATTAGAAATGACGAAGTGATGTAGCATGGAAATGAGTTGGCTATGGAGATTTTGTGAGATGGCTATGAAAATTAAGCTATGAATGTAAATTAAATGAGAAGTAAAGAAGAGGAGGAATAGAAGAACAGAGAAAGGTGAGAAAGAGAAAGAGAAACTCGGTCTCTTATCAAAGATCAGCGAAGAGAAGAGGGAAGTGAGTACCTGCCATTCAAGCAGGTTTCAATTCAATATCAAATTTATCTCATAATTCATTACAAGGCTATAAATAGAAAGAAAGCAACTAATCCTTAGATTGCCTACGGGGTTATTACAACTTACTAAAAGATATAAAATCAAAGTAAATAACATCAAATTTGACTATCCCACGAGGTGGGTTGCTAAGAAGGGCTCCAGGTCTTGCTAAAAAAGAGCTCCAGGTTTTTTTTCCTTTAGTATTCTTTGCAATGATGTCACCATCAAAAGAGGTTCATCAAAGATATCCATTTGCAGCTGTTGTCATTGGAACTTCTGATCCTCCTCTTGGAGTACATTGTTGGCTAGAATATCATTTTCTAGTCAACGACTTTACGTGTATTATATATTTCAATTCAACTTCATGTACTCCCCAACATTGCTTGAAATAGTTTGGTACATTTGTTTTCTTCGTGAATTTTAAATTTTATCACTTCAAGGTGATGCTAGTTATGGTCACATGCTTTAGGCTGACTTTTTGTCATCTTTTTTTATCCATGCAGATTGCCCGGCTGATTTATACTAATTCAGGCCATGCTATCTTGGCATTAGCATCCAATGCTGTTCACAAGCTATGGAAATGGCAGAAAACCGACAGAAATGTCACTGTGAAGGTGATGATTACTCCTTTTTTTTAAAGTCTTGAATAGGCCATACACTTCTCCATTTATCTAACATTTAACAAAGCTTCCCTCTCCAGGCAACTGCAGCTGTGGCGCCACAGATATGGCAACCTACGAGCGGAATATTGATGACTAATGAAATCAGTGATACAAACCCCGAAGAAGCTATTCACTGCTTTGCGCTATCAAAGAATGATTCATATGTTATGTCCGCATCAGGCGGGAAGATATCCCTCTTTAATATGATGACATTCAAGGTGACTTGCTTCATGTGCTTAAACCTCTATTGTTAATTTGGGTTGGCTTCATGAATCCTAATTTTTTATTTGTTCATGTTTTGTTATTTAAATTGTTAAATTTATTCTTTGAAAATCATTTTGAACTATTCATATTCTCAAGCTTTATTCTCCTTCCTAATCTTTAGACATTAATTTAATTCGCCCTTCTAATGTGCGTGTTTAATGTCATTGTTTATGTCATTTTGTTGTATGATAGAATAAAGTTGTACTATGAAGGTTCCCTATATTTGGTGAGTGTTTAGTGCTAATGTTCATTGTTTATGTTTTAGCTTAGGATAGCATAAAGTTATATTAGGAAAGTTCTTTGGATTTAAAGAGTAGTTTATGCTAATGTTGTTGTTCCCTAAAATGTTGTATTCATTCTCCTATTATAAATAAGGGGAGTCTTTATTGAATAATACACACAAATTTTTCCTTTAATAATTCAAACCACTGAATCTCTTTAATTACCTTTTTTCAACATATCACTTCAATAATTATCCTGATATAATTATTCATTAATTTATCATTTATATTTTTTTAACAAATTCATTTTAATGTTCTTATTTCCTCCATAAAATATCGGCCTTCTTATGACCGTGTTAGGAGAGTAGATGTATTAGATATGACCTATGTTAAGAAAGGTAAAGGTAAACTTACAAAAACTTGGTTATAAAGTATTACAAATGACCTTGTTTTATTAGATTTAAATGAGAATTTGACTCTTAATATGACACAATGGAGAAAGTAGATTCATGTAGTTGACCCCACGTAGTGTGATAAAGGCTTGATGTTGTTGTTGTTTTTATTTCTGACAGGAAATGCTTGTAGAAAACCAAGAAAGCTAGGCTGAATTTGAATTTTATGAGAAGAGCGATGAAGAAAACTAGGAGAAAAACCTTTATAACTGATGAAATATGGAAGAAAATGAATAAGATTCAATGGATCTTCAATTCGAAAGGAAGATCCGGCTCTCCCAATCTCTAGTCGTTAGATAGAGCCCAATCAATCGTTAGAACAATCTAATTTCAGCCAAACAAGAGATAACCCCTAACCCTAGGGAAAATATCCTACTTAAAGATACAATCATGAAGTAAATCTCAAAATAGCCCCTCCTTTGAATTTTCCCTCCTAAACACATTAATCCCTCTCTTAATACCAGCTACTATACCCCACCCAAAGGGCCGAACCTTATGGGGAGTTCCGCCTCTGATAAACTAAGGCCGATCTAGGATGGACTGGCTGGACCAATCCAGTGACCGGTCTAATAGTTTCCTTCGTGCTCAATTTAGGATATTTTTTTACTTCACAACACTTAGATTCATGCAACATGCCTAGTCTAATTAAAAGTTTATAATACTTTCTAGGCATTCTTTATTTGAACAATTCAACCTTAACTTTAGAAGCTATAGCCTTATCTATATCCCATTATTTTATATAATGGGTACAAGATACTTAAATGTATCACATCTAGGCATCACTTTATCTTAATATAATTAACTGATAATTATTAATATCACATCTACTCATGCATTCATTTTTTATTCCACTAATTATAAGTTATCTATCTTCTAAAATATTTTTCCATTACTCAAAACTTTCTTTTATTTCAGTAGACAGCACTACAAAAAAATAGATCAAGGCATCTCCCTTTAAGTATTATTTATGTGCATCTTCATGATAACTTCAATAGTCATTTAATACATATTTGTTCTCTTAGGCACATCCTATCAATTATTGTGGTACTTAATCATATGTTTTCTCAAGATCCATGCATATCATATTAAGATTCTTTCTCCGATATCTTTGCTTTTTCATTAATTGTCGTCATATAAAAATAGCTATCATAGTAACTCTTTTTGGCAGTATGAAAAAATTGTTTATTTGAAAACGATACACATTTTTTAAGTATATGTTTCATTACTCTCTTTCATAACAATTACATTAATCGCAAACTTAAACATCTTCATGATTATTAAATGTTGTAAACATAGAACTTATTCTCAAGTCATTTGACATTCCATATAACTCTTCACGTGTTAATATGCATCTAATATGAACCTAAAACTTTTATTTATGCAATTTTCAGTTATAACTTCATTTTTTGGATCAATCTATAATATGCTTCACTATTCGACACACACTTCTAAAATGATATTCTTATTACTCCATTTAATTGTTTCTCAAAGTGCTATTGTCATTTTTCTTGAATATCTTCAACTTTAACTGATACCCTATTACATTTCACTTATAATGCATCTAATTTGATTGAAGCCACTAGATCTTTTATATCATGTCTTAATTATTCAATATATCTCTTTTTCTCCTTCTTCTTCGGTATAATTGCTCACCACATCCTTTACAAGAATTCTAGCTTTTTATAATTATTGTAAGGCATAGTAATGTTTAATTTCTGCCATTTTTTTCGTTGAGAAGATTTCGTACCTCCTGAATAAATGATTGAGTTCCCTTGCTATCCTACAATTTGGTTCTAACTCTTTAAATTTGTTATTGCTATCTTTTAAACTACTCTTATAAGATATTCAAACTTGGGTGGGCCAAACCTTTGATTTTCAACAATAATATAAAGAGAAAAAAAAAAAAAAGATACGAATCAAATTTCGCACACATAAATATGTGTCAGTGTGGTATTAAATGTCGGTGTTTGTGTATATCAGTATTTTTTATGATGACTAAAGCTCTCCATCTCGTTTATTGCAGACGATGACAACTTTCATGCCTCCACCACCAACAGCGACCTTTCTTGCTTTTCACCCTCAAGACAATAATATCATTGCCATAGGCATGGATGATTCTTCCATCCAAATCTATAATGTGCGGGTTGATGAGGTTTGATCCTTCCCACTAACCAATGTTTTTTAGCCTGCGGGTTTGGCATAAAGTGTAGTTATGACGTTCTCCTTTTTTTACTTCTGTTTGTATTGCACTGTGCAGGTTAAAAGCAAACTCAGAGGGCATCAAAATAGGATTACTGGTCTTGCATTTTCGAATGTCCTTAATGTTCTCGTATCTTCAGGAGTAGATGCTCAGGTATGCATCATAATCTCATGAGATTTATTGCAGATTGAATGCTTCATATGGGACATTCTATTCATCGTATGAACAAAATGAATCAGCAATTTCTTTTCTGATGAAAAAGCATCCTCTTTTCTTTGTTGCAGTTGTGTGTGTGGGGAATGGATACTTGGGAAAAACAAGCGAGCAAATTTTTACAGATTCCTCCTAATCGGATGTCAGGTGCCTTTGCAGAAACCAAGGTTCAATTTCACCAGGACCAGGTTCAATTTTTGGTTGTTCATGAATCCCAGATTGCAATTTATGAAGCAACAAAACTGGACTGTCATAAACAGGTGGGTTCATCAATCCATCTTTTGCATATGCCAACTAGACTAGTCCACCTGGAAATTATTATTTGATAAATAATTTGAATCTTCTGCAGTGGATCCCACGGGACATGTCTGTAACACATGCTACATATTCATGCGATAGCCAAATGATATATGCAACCTTCACAGATGGAAGTGTGAGCATCTTCACGTCTGCACTTCGATTGAGATGTCGGATAAGCCCCATGGCCTATCTCAAAGCACCGCCAAGGTATGATATGATCACGTATCATTTACTCAATAACAGTTATATGTGTTTCTTCTACATGTTTAGTTTCATCTTAAATATTTTTCTCAGTGTGAACACGTATCCTGTTGTGGTGGCTGCCCATCCCACTGAACCCAATCAGCTCGCCTTGGGTCTTAGCGATGGCGGTGTTCATGTGCTCGAACCATTGGACTCAAACGAAGGCAAATGGGGATCCGCTCCCCCGACGGAAAATGTAGGTGCCAGCTCCAGCTCCAGCCAACCTGTTGGAAATCCTAATTCAGATCAACCACCAAGGTGATACAGCTGCTGGAAGCTTATTTGACATTTGCGCCAAGTTTTCTTCTGGGAGTGTAGAGGGTTCGTTGCTCCCAAGGGGGGCAGTAATTGGAAATCAAGTTGATCAATGTGAGTCAGATGTTTGACATAAGTTTAGTGTATGCTGATTTGCATCAGAAAAACCATTGCTTTATACAGATCATGGTGACTAACTTGTATATGGTAAAGCTTGCATCAAGTATTCTACTGAATAGAAGATGCATGGAGACTGCTCAGTGGAAGTCATGGGGAGTGCAGCAGCTGCCTTTGTTCACGGTTAGGCTCTTAACAGAAAAGTATCATGTTTTTAGAAATTATTTTTGCCTCATCTTATTAAATTATTTTGAAATGTGTGAAGAATTAGCATCTTTTATATTGTATCAGTAATATTCCATCAATATTTTATTTGAAATCTTTCACTCCGTTGATGCTTTGTTTCTTGTTAATTTTTTATTTCAGGTCCAATGTAATGTTTTAACTCTGGATAGTTCCAATTTTTTTGTTTTATTATTGGTATATGATTTGAGTTCACTCTGTTTGCTTACTTGTGATGTGGTGGACAAATTTTATCATCCTCACCAAATCATATATTTTATAATCTAAGCACGGTATATAAAATAATATATTATCCCAAAGGATAAAAATATTATTTTATTATGGACTCAATAACAAAATATATAATTTTTATTTTAACAAAGATTTTCTCCTATTCAATAGAATTTATTTTATTATGCAAAAGTATTTGTTATTTAAGAAGACCTTTGATTGAATTAATGGTTTTTTTTTCCAGCTCATCAAAACATTGGCTAAATTTTTTATTTTGAGATTTATGAAATTTTGTTTAAAGGTATAATATTTAGGAATTTCAAAAGACGAACAATCAACTTGAAATCAAATTTGAAATGGAAGCTAAAGGAATGAAATATAAGAGTACTTGATTATGAGAAAATTCAAAAGTACTCAAGCTATCTTATGTTGATTTTATTTAAGTTGATCTTTTTTATTTAGAATGTTAGCATTTAAATTATTTAAACAACACACATTACATAAAATGATTGGAAGATGAGAACTTATGAAGGGTAGTCCTTTAATTTAAGTCTAATGGAGTGCAAATTATCTAAGGCATATCCAACTCAATTCTTAATTTATTACTCTGCCTGAAATTAACTACTAGCCAATTCACCTAATCGCTTTTAAAATAATGAAATTCATTCTCAATGCATATGAAGAATAGAAAATATTATTTTTCTTAAAAACTATGACTTATAATTTGACTTTGAGTTCAAGATGTCTGATCATATATGTATGCATAATGCCGATATAAAATTTTAAATTTTTATAATCTAATAAATAAATGAGAGCTTTTTTACATGGACACACTTGGCTATGTATAATCATTTTAAAATTTGACTCCTTAAAAGAAACCATGCAATTTTAGATTCTTTATATTTTTAATAGATAGAAAATTTAATTTTATCCTACGCGTCTACCACATAAACAAGTTCAGACCACCCCTAAGCAAAAGCAAAAGAAGAAACCTTAAAAGAAGCATGCTTCTATCATGCACATAGTAAACAATCAACACATGCTAATATATATATATATATATATATATATATATAAGAATGTAAATGTCCAAGTTAATACAATTATTGTTTGCAACTAAGTTTTCTACCATTATACAACTCAAATAAATTTTACAGACTCTGCTTATGAGGATCTTCAAGTTTTGGCTTCTAGATAGATTTTGGGCTCCACCTTTGGTAAGTTCATCCTCCTTATACATCTTCCATTTAAATATTCCCCACAGGATCAAATACCTCTTAAATTTATCAAATATACATGAAAATGTAAAAGATTCAAACCTACAAAATAGGAGAATGATTATGAGCATGTATATATATAAAGCATGAATAATCATTCATAATTATATGACACTTAAAGTGTCAAGCTCCACGTCTATCCTATTGGCCACATCTCTTTAAAGGGTTTAAGCATCACCTATTAGCAAGCATTTTATTATGATTTTATTGCACCCCCTATTGGGCACAATCAATTATATATATATACTAATAATTTAAAGGTAAATGCTCACAACGCAGACAATCCAAGAGGCATCACACCAAAGCATCGATCAAATGTGCATAAAAGGGAAATCTTAATCCTAATATGCCACTAGCACCTAAGTATGTGTTGTTGTGTGGTATATTACACTATGAATGATGCTTTTGTTTTATTGAGTAAATAAGATGTTTAATCTTAATTCAGGGGTGTTTTCTCTTCGAGTTATTTCTGACCAAAAATTTTATTTGGCTTTTAAGTGTTTTATAAACCAAGAATGAATAATTGAATTTTCTCTTCAATGAGATGTTTCATCTACCTAAGTTGGATTAAGTAAATGTATGAGGATGAGATGCAAATGTGGATCACAAATCACATGGAATTTCTTTGAACTTTAAGGTATTCAAAGAAAGTTGTTTATTCACTCAATTTAGATTAGGAGAATGAAGGGATTTCCTACAACTTTTGAGTTGTAGAAGTAGGGAAGCAAAGTGCAACTTGTAGATTGCAAATTAGAGAAGGGTCTTTAAACTTTTGATGTTCAAAGAGGAGGATTCATTCATCCAACTTGAGTTGGAGAGATGAGAGGAGGGGAAGATGCAACTTAGGAGTTGCAAATTTATGAATATTTTTGGAATATTTGATGTTCAAAGAGATCTATTCATTTACCCAATTCCGGCCTAGGAAAATGAAGGAGAATTTAGATGTTCCACTTGTAAGAGAAGAAGAAGAAAATGCAACTTAAAGTTTACAAATTTAAGGAACCTTTTTGAACATTTGGTGTTCAAATAGGAGTGATTATCTACCCAATTTATGTTGGGCAAATACAAGGAGATGGTATGCAACTTACAGGTTGAATTCCAAGCTCAATGAAACATGATATTTACCAAATTTTGTATTAGGTAAATATACGAAAATTCTATGCAACTTAGAGGTTGCGAGTTGAAGGAGATTCTTTGATCTTTTGGTGTTCAAAGAGATATACTCTCCTAATTTAAGCTTAGGAGAGAGAATGTGTGTTTCTTACAATCTTTGAGTTGTAGGAAGGGGGAGGCAATGTGCAACTTATGGGTTGCAAACTAGAGGAAATTCCTTGAACTTTTGGTGTTCAAAGAGAAGTATTCATTTACTTGGTTTAGGTTAAGTGAATGGGGAAGGAAGACTAGGATTTGAATCATATGTCTAAGGGGATTATTTATAGGTTTTATGTTCCAACAAATAAGATATGAGAGCTTAAAGTTTGGTTCCAAGCTCAAGGGTTTCATGCAGTGATGTGCTTGAAATCTTGGAGGATTTCAAATCATCATGCAAGAAAGAAGGAAAGATAATTATTTGTTGATTTTGTGTCTCAAGAAACAAGGTATGAATGACTTAAAATTTATTTCTAAGATCCAAAGACTCATGTAATATAATATTTGGAGCCTTGAGAAAGCTCCAAATGTCATGCATGAAAAATGAGAGATGATTATTTTTTGATTTTGTGTTTCAACAAATAAGGGCTGAATGAACCTAAGATTTTGATCCTATGGCTATAAGGTCCATGCAACAAGGTGTTTGGAGCGTTGGGGGCTCCAAATCATTAATGCATAAAAGGGAGGAGGCACTACAAGGGAAATCCTAATGTGGAGCCAAGATTCATGCAATCTAGCAATTGGAGCCTTGAGGAGGCTCCAAACATCATGCATAAAAGAGATGTGCATATGAAAGAGAGTTCCCTATTCTTCTATGAGTGTTGTGAATTCAATAGAAAACGGGTGATTGATTCCTAAATCTTTGGAGAGGTTTTCAGATTAATTTTGTCATGATTAAGAAATTTGTAGGCTTGTGGAAGAGGTTTTAAAGTCTCAAGATTTCTCTTGACAATTGATTATGTTGTTTGCTATTACACTTTATCTTTTCAATTTGCAAATTGATCGAAATAAGCTTAGGTAGCTTCTAAGTGTAATGGAGTGTTTAGCTATGAGCCTTTGGGGGCACACGAAACACTCCAAATGAATTCCACAAACACTTAGAATTAAATGAACATATTTAGGACACATGCAAATTTTGGAATTTTAGTGATCAAACTTAGAGACCTATGATACATGATTTTAACTCATGATGAGATGGAGAACAAACATCTAAAGCTTTGAAGAGGATTTCCAATCAAACTTGACATGATGGGTGCATTTGGGATAAGAGTGAAGGATTCCGATTTTAGAAATTTTGATCATTTTACTTCAATCCCCTAGGTTGGGAGTTTGCACAAATAGAATTAAATAATTCCAAGATGCGGGGGTCATGGGCCGTTGGAGGCCCATAACACCCTTCGAGTTTGTTATGGAATTAAATAAGTCTATTTGATAATTTCCCACAATTCTACAAGTTAAGGATTGTAATCTAAATCATGCAAACTAATTTGGTTAAGTGTGCAATCATTTGGATTTGAGAATTTTACTTGCTTCAACTCTCCAAATTTGGAAGACCATCAAGGATGGTTTCAAATCAATCTATACACCATAGGATTTGACACATAAACATGCATGCTCATGAAAGACCCCACCAATGCATAAATGAATTGAAGCACACACTTGAACATTTAGCAAATTCGGAGAAAATCACAAGTGTTATAGCAATGCAAGCCTCTTACATATGTGTGCTAATTTTGTTATAACACATGATCCAAGAGAAAAGAACATGAGATGCGACGTTTGGAGGGAAATTACACCTCAATTAACCTAGGGTTTGATCGTAGGTGAAGGCTAAGCATGCAATATGAGTGCAAAACAAGCATTTGAAAGATGTTGAATACCGATTCAACGCCCCCTCTTTTGGCTCTCATATGAGAGGAACTCAATGAAAATTGTCGGCTTTTCATGCATTCGCTAAGGAGACAACGAACATGGGATTTTCTTGGGTTTGGAAAGTAAAATACAAGTGTTCACTAGGATCCTAAGGCTTGGGAGCGTCAACCACACGTCAAATGGCCAAAAGACCTAGAGATTTTCTAAGTTTTTGAGGGATTTTACCTCGTTGGGCAGTCAGGGCACAGCTTACTATCCACTCGGCTTACACAGACGAGATCGAGGGCGAATGGAAGGTAGATTTGTTGTCGAAAAGCTCCGGAATGCTGCCTCCACTTGATAGAATGCTCCCGAAAGTCGATTTCGCTGTCACGAGCTGGTCGGAATTACAAAAGAGGACAAAGTAAGCTCCCAAACCTTCCTTGATTGCAGAAATGGAAGTCTGGACTGCTGGATTTGGTCCAGATATACGTAGAAGCCTTCGGTTCTAAAGGTCTCGACCCGGCCAGGTCGTGTTTAAGGCTGAAAGTCCGCTATCATCTGCTCGGTCGCAAGCAGAGGGTCGGTCGCACGTAGGAGCCGAACGAGATCTCCTTCTCGGTTTGGATAGGTCGACGCGCGGGAGCAACGGGGCCGCCCACTCGGTTTTGTCTGGATCGTGCGATAATGAGAGAGCCGCGGGCTTGGGCTCTCTCCTTCCCGCTCCTCTCTGCCCTCTTGTCTGGATCGAACGGACACACGATGGAAGAAAACCCACACGCACACAAGGATCCGCCTGGCTTCCCCACCGCCTCTCTCTCACGCTCTCTGGAACGGATCCCACGAGCAGGCGGATCTCTCCCCCTTTCGCTCGAATGAGGAAGCCAGAGGATTTTCCTGATTCGATTCTTGCTACAGCCGCGCAAATGAGACATTTCACTCGCTGGATTTCGATTACCTTATTTATGAAGTCAAATGACCTGAAATTGAGTCTGTATAGGATTAAAATTAAACTCGAATCGGCACTGACGAATTTGGTTCAATGAGATTGATTTGGGTTCAATTTACTTTTAATTGGATTTAATTGAGTTTAATTTGATTCAATTGATATCCTATTTGGGTCAATTTTAGTTCGACAATACGATCGAGTTTGTCAAGCTCGATCTAGTCCAATCGGGCTCGAATCGGCCCGATCGGGATCAGGTAGATAATGAAAAAAAAGCCAATGGAGATAAATTCATTAATCCTTATTTATAATTGAAGAAATCATGTCGGGATCCAGCAACATTCATGTCTATAATAATAAGGAAGAGTTTGTAGTTAATGAGCAAGCAATTCCGTTTGTACTCGCATATGAGCAAGAGGGAAAGAGGCTACAACAGAATGTCGATTCGATGATAAAACTCCAGCTCTTGAAGCCACAGGATTATCCTCAAGTGATTTTGGATAACAACCTTTAGATTATATTTTCATTACAATATTCTGACTTCTATTTGGCGAGATTATTATTTGTTTTTTTTGCTTTGAGATAATCAATTAAATTTTGCATTGTGTTCTTCTCAAAATAAAATTAATTCAACAATAACATTAAGTTTTATCCCACTATATGGGGTCCGTTGCATGAATCGTTTTTCTCTATCGTATGATGCCAAGAGTCAAATTTACATTTAAATCTAATAAATAAAGGTAATTTTTAATATTTTCTAACAAAGTCTTTTTAGGTGTACATCTATCTTTCTTAACATATGCCAAATCTAATACATCTACTCTCCTAACCGGGTCATCGGAAGATGGTCGTTTTATGTGACCAAACCATCTAAGGCAACTCTCTCTAATCTTATTTGCCATTGGAGCTACTCCAACATTTTCACGTATATGCTCATTTCGTATCCTACCACTCATCCATGTGTGCATTCTCATCTCTGCAACACTTAATATTATGCTTCTCTTTTAATGGCCAATATTCTGCGCCATAAAGCATTGCAGGTTTCACCACCATCTTATAGAATTTTCCCTTAAGTTTGAGTAGTAATTTTCTATCA